TCTTGCAGTCGCTTTTGTACTGCTGTGGGCTGAATGATGTAAATAAATAAAAGTCAATATCGTCACGCGGGATAGCGTCATAGCAACGATCATGTGAGCCCGCAAGGAATTTCTCTCATAGGAAGAGAGAGAGCTACTTGGTTTTTTACTATACTTGTTGGTAGATAACTTCTTTCGCAGACAAGCTAACTTGGGCCTAACATAATTCTAAGTGATGCCAGAGTTACGAGGAAACTTACTTGACACTATTTTTTGAATAATGCTGGTCGCGTTTTGTCTCTTTGATGGAATCCGAAAATTGACAGCCAACTTGCTTGCTTGCAATATCTATTTCAACCCATTAGTAGAACTACAGTTCTGCGCAACAAGAATAGGAAGGTAGAACATGGACTAAATGTTTATTCGCTCATTTTCAGTATTCTCCCTCAGCGTACGAGCCCCTTCCCACTTCAGTTGGCCCAGCTATTGAAATCTTAGTTTTTTCTTATCAAAGACAAATAATAAAAATGTAGCAGGGTGTTATAGGTTTAAAATATTAACAATGAATATTTTGATAATATATAGTAGAAAACACCAACTTTATCACTCCCTAATCAAATTTGCAGCATAAAAATAACACGTGCTGCAATTACAATTACAATTTTCATTTCAATGCAACATAAGTCTATAATGCATAGGTGGCTGTGAAAAATAAAAGCCACGACAATTGTTTTTATTAATCACAGCTGTCAGAATACGTTTAAAATAGTTTTGGGTAGTTAAGGTTTTCAAAATGGGTAGAGGAAAGGTTATTAGTGAGAAAATTCGGTTACTGATAATTAAATTTTTTAATTCTGGGAAATCAAACTCAGAAATTGAAACTTTGTTAGACTTATCGCGGTACAGTATGAGAAATATTGTAAGAAGATATAACGTAACTGGTTCAGTTAATATTAAGCTACGATATGTGAAAAAAAGTAATGCCGACCGAAGAGCATTAAGAAGAATAATCGTGAAAAACAGACGTGTCAATCATTTACAATTAAGTGCTCTGTGGAGTGACGCGCTTGGAAGTAGAATTTCGAAGTCCACAACTCATAGAGAGGCCCACAAACTGGGATTTAGCACTTGCAATGTAAGTTTTCTTATAAAAAAAGTGAAGCAAAAACCCAAAAGTTGCATAACTTGTTTATAGGCCAACGAAAAGCCACTATTAACTCCACTGCAAAAGAAAAATCGGCTCAGATGGGCTAAAGAACATATACAATGGACACCTCAACAATGGTGTGCAATACAGTGGAGTGATGAGGCCCGATTCGAAGTTTGTGTTGGTGACAGTCGCAGTAGAGCTATTCGCAAAAAAATGAAGCATTCCATGTTGACTGTCTGAAGAGAAAACTGAAATTTCCAGCATCCATTATGGTCTGGGGCAGTATGTCATCAAAAGGAGTAGGAAAACTTCATTTTATTGATGGAAATGTGGATACAAACAAATATTTGGCAATTTTAGAAGAATCGTTTTTACCAGTGATGGAAGAATGTTTGACATCCGGCCAAGATTTTGTGTTTCAGGAGGATGGTGCAGCGTACCATACCTCAAAAAAGGCTATAAAATGGATGGAAGACTAATGTACCACTTTTGAAATGGGTTTCTAGCAGTCCAGATCTGTCACCTATTGAAACTTTGTGGCACGAGATGAAAAAGGTTCTACGACAACATCCTGCTCGTACAATCACCGAACTGAGAGAAAAGCTTCAAGAAATATGGGATTGTTTTACACCAAATTTTTGACAATACTTGGTTAACACTATGCCCCAAAGAATTTCAGCCGTAATAAAAAATAAAGGTGATGTTACCCAATGGTAATCTTTCAATTGTTGCTTTGTTAACTTCGCGCATTTATTCGCACATTGTTTATTTGTTCAGATGTTCTATTAGTTATAGGCCTAAGTGATTTCAAATATGTATTTTTTACGACTAGAGTGTATCTAAAATGTTTTTGAGAAAATAAATTGTTTTAGAAGTAAATAGTTTCGTTATGTTTAGTTTATAAAGGCATATTTTGGTACAAATCTTGAAGTGGGCCAACTGAAGTGGCAAGGGGCTCGTAGACATGCGATACTTCTGCAGTGAACGAGGTGACCTTCTATAAGACACATAGAATCTAAAAAAGCAAACAATAGTTCTGCTTTATGGTGATGGCATATATAAGTGCAAAATGTGAAAGCCTTTGGATGCTTTAGTTCGTTTGGATCACAGAATCCATTTTCGAATTAAATCCACTCTAAGCAACCTGATTATTGCCACTTTTACCAAATAGCTTCACAACGATTGAAGATAAGTACAAACTTTATCACACAAAAGTTACTAAAATCTAAAAATTAGAAAAAAAAACGTCGAGCCAATATTAAAGAAAGTACTGCTTTAATAATGTATATAAACATTAACATTAATATTGTTATAATTGATTGGGACAACATATAAATTGTCATGGAACTAATATGGAATTGTGACATCGAGCCAATAAAGAAAAGCCACATTAGTTCTCTAGTGCAAATCAATATTATATCAGTGTATCCAAATGTCCACATTTTTTCTTGCACCAGTATTTGAAAATTAGCATGGGCCAAGGTATCCGTAATATTGTTCCTATGTTGGGACAATATACGTGTGCTACTTGGGTAAAAGCAGCCAATTCTCTCCACATTACTTAGGCATAACAATTACAATAGTCTTCAGTATAATGTAAAGTCACACGTGAAATCCTTTAAACAAAATTTGATAAGATTTCTGATTGATCAGTGTTTTTATACTTTTTCTCTTGTAGGCATTTTTAATGTTTTTTTTTATTAATCTTTGTTTTAATATCATGTTTTGTTTTACTATTGTTTTGCTCCTAGTATTTACCTAGATTTTTATTGACCATTCCTATATGTTTTATATCATCTACAGGAAAATAAAGGAATTTGAATTGCATCGAGTGCTAGTCTTGGCAAGCCGTTTGATTGCAACCGCGCTCCGCGAACATTTCATCAACCACACAATTTATTCTTGTTTTTCCTTAAACGTTGGATTTTTACACGATTTTCGAGACTAATCACGCTTCTTTTTGGTATTTTAGAATAAATTTGTCCACAACTCATTCACAAAATAACCTGGCAATATTTCCAAATCCAGACTGACCAACATAAATATTAAAAAGAGGTTAGGCGAGAAAAAACATATTTTATTATCTATACTCCAGATGTTTTATGATCCCAAAAATATACTGCCAGTTATTTAGAATTGCGTTTGCGTTTGAAATATTTTCTATATGTTTAAACAGCAAAGGAGTGTGGTAACTTTATTGGAGTGCCTAATAATTTTGATCGAAACTGTAGATCTCTGCCAAAAACGATGAATTTTATAACATCAATGCAATTAAATTCGATTCTCGCTATAAAATCTAATAAACCAAGTGAAAAATCTGGGAAGCCACCCTTTTTATGGCGTGTATTTGACCGTAAATCGCGCGATAACAACCGTGGCGCCGTAACGTCAATCAATCTGATCCCCGTGTCTCGGAGTAATCCATCAGGAAATGATCTCAGCGCATTTCTTTCTGCGGTGTCCATTGAAGTGTGGCCGCGCGATAGGCCTCCACAGCGCCGGGGAATCCCCGCAGCTCTCCCGAGGGAAATCAGCTAAACCCAGTCACCGACCGGGATCAGGATGTGCAACATTCAACCATTTTTCGGACAGATTTCGCTAATGGCTTTTCGAATTACATACCTCTTTCAACGGGATTCGTAGGGGATTTTTGCGATTATCCACCGGTTGAGTTGCCATGCTTAGGACACACACAAAAAGGAGTCTCGTGGGGACGTAGGGGGTTGCCTATATTGCGTGTCTGTATGTAAAAAAGGATGTAAACGGGACGTTCATAAATCAAAACGTTCTCACTATGCCTCAACACTGGTCGACTGTATTACGGTAAAGTTTTAGGTGCATATACAATAATAGTATAATTTAGTAAATTCATTTGTTCTTAATTGAAGAGCGCAATGGCTACCTTTCGGCGCCACCATAATCTACAATCTAAGCAGACTAAATTGAATTTGCTATGCTGCAGTGTTATGTAAAACAGTGGCGGCTCGTGAGGTAGTGCCACGGTGCCATGGCACTACCTTGTCTTCTTCAAAAAGAATATTTTTTTCAATCTTCGATGTTTTACTTTATTTTCTGCTTTTTCATTTTTTTTGGTATAAATTATATGAAGTGACAATACTGACAACGTGACAACACCGCAAGCACCCGACCGACGCGACGCGACGAGATGGAAAGCATGCCTTGACCTTGACGTCATCAACTTGTGCCAATTTTGGGCTGGCCCAAATAAAAAGAGAGAAATTTTACCAGCATCGCATACGAGCGACAGAGATAACGCTAGGCTAGCAATGTTTATATGAGGTGAATAGCGAAAGACAAGTATAATTTGTGCCAGGCACATCATCACATCATCAGTCGTAATTGGTTATCAAATGATATCGGCGGTGTTTTTGTTCGGTCGGTCGTTTCGTTATGATTACGTCTAGTGCTGATTTCGGTCTTTTTTTACCTGAAAAGTGAGAAATAACGTTTTTGTTTTAGTACGTCTAGTGTTAATGAACTGCTCTGTTTTGTGATCATATTTTTTACTGTTTTATTAAAACTAGTGAAAATGAATAAAATCGGGATATTAAAAAACTCATTTAGTGGTTTTTCGCTGGATCAAAAACTGCAAATTAAAGAATTAGGACGGCCAATACCCGATTTAAAAATTGAGAAACAAAGTGGTAGCGGACAAAAATCGCGCTCTCGCAAATTTAATAAAAATGTGTACGATAAAAACAGCTGGATATGTGGTTGTGAAGAAACGAATAAACTATTTTGTTTTGTATGTGTTCTATTTGGAGGTGACGAGACTTGGTCAAAAAAAGGTACAGACGATCTTATACATATATGGGATAAAATGAAGACCCACGAAAAATCTAAAGTCCATATGAATAATGTTTTTAGCTTTTCTATTCTTGGTAAATTAAATATAAGGACTCAACTCAATTCGGCTTATCGCAATAATCTAATTAAACATAATAATCAAGTGGATAAGAATCGATATGTATTGAATAAAATTATTAATTGTATAAGGTTTTGTGGAGCATTTGAGTTAGCCTTAAGGGGTCATGATGAAAAGGAAAATTCGGAAAACAGAGGCATATTTAAGGAGCTGGTGAATTTTAGCGCCGAATTAGACAACGAATTGAAAGTCCATATTCAAAGTGCCAAACTTTTTAAGGGTACCTCAAAAACAACTCAAAACGAGCTTCTTGAGTGCATGCTAGATGTTTATCATGAAGAAGTTAAGAAGGAGATTGCAAATTCTCCTTTTGTTGCAGTAATTGCCGATGAAACGACGGACGTAGCCTGTGAATTTCAGTTAGTTATTATTTTCAGATATTTGTGTAAAGGACAACCAGTTGAGAGATTTTGGAGATTTTACGTCCCCGACGGACACGATGCCAAATCAATCGCTGCATGCGTTTTAAATGTTGTAAATCCATTACTAGATCAAAATCCAAACAAATTAATAGCTCAAAGCTATGATGGTGCGTCTGTTATAAGTGGTGAATTGAATGGCATTCAAAAAATTATTAAGGAAACTTATCCACTTGCAAATTATGTTCATTGCTATGCACACCAGTTAAATCTAATTATGACAAGCGCATGCTCTGTCAATAAGCAGGCTAGAATATTTTTCCATAATTTATCTGGATTGTGCTCTTTTTTTTCGACGTCTCCTCAAAGAACAAAAATTTTGGATGAAATAGTTAATCGCAGATTGCCAAGATCTTCCCAAACACGTTGGAATTTTCAGTCACGAGGTGTTCATACAGTTTATGAAAATAGGAAAGACCTGATTGAAGTTATGGACAATATAGAAAGTACTTCATGCGATTCTTCGTCGATTAATCAAGCCAGTGGGTACAAATTAAAGCTGCAAGATACAAATTTTGTATTTTGGCTAAGTATTTTCCATAAAATAATGCCACATGTTGAAATTGTCTTTAACCAATTACAAAAAGTATGCACCGATTCTGTTAAGGTCAAAAATGATTTAGAGAATTTTGAAGCAGCAATTCAAACCATACGAGAACAAATGGATAGCATTATTGACGAGATTGAACGAGTGCAGAGAGAAACTGATGAACCGGCAAGAAAAAAAGGCAAGTTGAAGAAGGCAGCAAAAAACGGGAAGCGTTAGAAATATGCGATGCAGTATTATCGCAAATAAGAACAAAATTTAACTTTTCTGGGCATTTAGTTGCTTCTAATTTATTTGTGTCTGAAAAGTTTTCTGTTTATAAACATCAGTTTCCTGAAGCACATTTAAATGACACATGCTCACAATTTTCATTTTTAGACAAAAACAGGCTTAAAACTGAGTTACAAGTATTATATCAGAGAGAAGAATTGAGTACTACTTCTGGAGCTGTTCCACTATCCATTTTATTGAACGAGGAAGGATTAAATTGTACGTTTCAAGAAACTCTTAAGCTCTTAAGTATTTTAATCACTATACCGATGTCAACATCTGAAGCAGAACGCTCTTTTTCAATGCTGAAACGGATTAAAACTTTCCTCAGAAACACAATGAAGGAAGAAAGGCTTAGTGCTTTAGGAATGCTGTCTGCAGAAAAACATTTTGTTAGTGGCATTGAAAATTTTAATAATAAGGTAATCGAAAACTTTGCTACCAAAAAAGAAAGAAGAATGGACTTCATATATAGAAAACTTTGAAGTTATAGGTACTTCTCCACACTTGTTTTATAATTTGGTGCGCGTGTGTAAATAGTTTTATTTTAGATTTTTTTTGGACATATAGATTTATTGAACCTCAAGAACTTTGACCACTAACTATCAGGGGTAAGTTATTCTTTACAATTTTGAATCGATTCAAAGTTATGGCTTCCATTCTGGCACTACCTCATTGAATTGGCACGAGCCGCCACTGATGTAAAATGCAATGAACAGATTCCTCAAGTGTGTACAGTGAAATGGAAGAAATCTCTAGGACGTAATACAAAAAAATGATATCTGCATTTCTGTAGATACATTTTTAATAAAAACATTTTCGCTGATATGTGTGGTGTTTATACATATAGCTGTAACACCCTGTACTATTATTGAAAGGTTTTCTATCGAACTTTACACCTGCTAGACAATATTCCACACTACTGATTATTTATATGTACCATTAATGTGTTCTGATAATGTGGATTCATTCAAACGTAATACATTTTCTATATAGTTGAGTATCTTGAAGTGATTTGAGTCATTTAAACTGACGTTATTCGTCTTTATTTATAATTTTGTATTTTAATCATAAATCCGACGTTTCAATATTTATTTGATGTCTTCTTCAGGGCTACAAAATCCGAACAGTAAATATCGACAAAATACAAAAAGCCAAATGAAGTGCTATGTTAAAAATGAATCAAAACATATAAATATGTCAAAATCAGTAATAAACACGAGCAAACAAAAAATGTATAGGACCTTGATTGCATATACCACTAGAAAAGCATAAGAGATGAATTATCACGTATTTTCTTGAGGTTAGTTACCAGTGACATTTCATCAGTTTTTAATGGTTTCAAACATCTTTGTATATTTTGATCCATTTTTCAACATAGAACTTTATTTGGTCTTTTGTGTTTTGTAGAAATTTATTTTTCTCATTTTGTACCCCTGAAGAAGACATGAAATCAATGTTGAAACGTCGGCTTTATGAGAAAAGTGGATCATCTTGCGTATTATATCCCAAAATGAAGACACGTAACATGTTTTACGCACTGGGATAAGGACTAACTTTTTGTTTTGAATGTTTGTTGAATATTTGTTGATGTGCTTCTTGTACTTACTACAGTATTGCATTTTAATTGGAACCATGCAGAATCATGAAAATGATATTCTGCCTTAAAAACAGCATTGTTAAGTGTTACTTTAGTAAGAGTTTTGGCAACATTTTTCTACATTTTTGTCTATCTTGGAGAACACAGCATGTCCTGGTGTAATATCTCTGACAAGCCTAAACGCCAGGACACAGCGGCTGCTATGAGGATCCTAGAGAAATATTGTTATTCCAATTTTTGAACTGCCTATGGTTAGTGAAGTGGGAAAAGCTTCCTCTTGTAGATTGTTCCACAATCTCCACACCCTCGGGACCAAGGAGCGGTCGTTTCGGCCAGTTATGGACATAAGAAGTTCGGGATGGTTAGGATGAGAGGCCGAAGTCAGGCGGGCCTGTCTGGCAAGCGCATCGAGCGGCGGCATCATGGAGGAGAGCTCTGAGGAGCAAAGCCCGTTGATGTAGCTGTAGAAGAGGGCGAGATCGCCGACGGCTCGCCGATGCGAAAGGGTCCCGATTATGCATATTTGAAAGAGTCATCGATTAGTCGGATAGCATATTACATATGTATATGACTGTGACCAATGATTTGAACCCAGAAGGTATAAGATGAAGATACCCCAGCGCCTTCTAGCAATTGCTAACAAGTGTTATTTCTGGAATTTTCACTAAAAGAGTCTAAAAAGAGGCTACTGGGTAGCTCGCCTGTTGTCACTGCAATGCCTCGTAACCTTTATTCATTCAACTTGGTGTCTGAATTTACCAGAACCATCTTTGAGCTTCTTCCATATGCACTTTCAGACTATGATTTCCCTAAATGCTATATCTTCAGCGACTATCCAGGCAAAATGAAAACCAAACGTCTCTATCTCCATAGCTAGGCCACCAAGCCCTAGTTCCTCTATCGCCTAACCCGGTTCTATACCTTCCCAGATGATTTCCACTTCTTCAGCGATCTGGGTCTCGGTCGCAACTCCTCGGCGCGTTCCCCCGAGCCACGTATGCAGATCACGAAATCAGATTCCACAAAATTAAGTGGTAAATTACAGGGTTTCGGTGACGGAATACGGAGTGAGGAGTTCGCTTCAGCTGACGCCACGTGGTGGTCGAGACCATACAAATCAATTATAGTACGGTCGTATTTGGATTTCAAAAGCTAAATATTACTACTGTGTTTTATTGTACAGGGTGTCCTGAAACTTGGGACTTTGCTTTCCAGAGTCAACTGCGTTTGCAATTCCAAAGCTAATTTGCGACAAAATAACACCGAAAATGTAAAAAAAAACATGCTTATTATTGCCTGACCTGCCATGTAAAGTTCCAACTTTGAGACACACTGTATTTATGGACAGTATTGTAATCTACTGGACAAAAAACATTTCACATTTCCTATGTGAACTGTGCCAACTTGGTCGATTGGTCAAGAGCTTATTGTATACTGTGGAAGTCGCAGACTTCAGAACTTTTTGAAGAGCGGGATGGCAAATTTTCTTAGGAGTCAGGAACAAATCAGAAAAATCCCCTATATTATACCGAAAATCATATGTATAATCATGGTACATGATAGTTTGATAGTAACAGTCAATTAAATCACGGTTCAGCATGTTACACTAGACACTGTTCAGCTATTCATTGTTATTGTTAAAAAATATCAAAACCACCCAAGTTCTGTAGCTCGACTTTCCTGATCTTGTTCGTTCTTGTGCAACACGGACATTTTTGTGATGATCTCAGTTAATTGCGGCTGGTTCCCTTGCATGTAGTCATACGTGAGATATACAAATACGGGCGGGTATATATCTATGAGAATCTAACAGTTTCTTTGAAAAAAGGGCTTAAACTTACTCTGCACTTCCTACGCAATACGCTGTGTGGCATTAATTTATAAAGGATTATATTTGGTGCAGTTAGTCCCTCTTAGAAAAAACTTGGCTTCAAGCCTGTGTAATAAAGGAATTACTGGATCATGTCAGCCGAATATTCTTATACAATTAGTGCATAGTCCCCACAGATTTTTCAACATTGCGATTTACACTATCGCCCTACTAACCACCCAGAAACGTGGAAACTCTGCCAGCCGCCGCACTTGCAAACCCAGCACAAGGTTGCATGCTTGAATTCACGCACCATCGCTCAGTTATCCCGCAGCATTCGAAGCAGACAGACGTAGGCTCGTTGAGATGTTCAACAGGTGTATATCGAATATATATATATATATATATATATATATATATATAAATTAGTAAAGCAGTGCATAAGCACACTCTTATAACTTGAACTCGAGTTTTCGATGGTCTTGCCATCATCGTCTGGAGCTAAAAAATATTTTTTTAATAATAGCAACAATAAAAAATTAGGAAAAAAAATATAATTACTTACTAAGTCGGCGAGATTGTTGCTGAAATTATTCTCGTGGACTTAGTAAGTAATTATATTTTTTCCTCCTCACTGTTTAGTGTTGCTATTATTCAAAAATTGTTTTTTAGCTCCAGACGATGATGGTATAGACGATCGAAAGCTCGAGTTCAAGTTATAAGAGTGTGCTTATACAGGGTGACTTTGAAGTTGAGTCATTAATTTTCAGATAATGATTGTAGAAGGAAGATAAACCAAAATATGTGTGTAAAAATAAAAAAAAAATAAAAAAAATTTTTTAGCTTGTTTTATAAAGTATCCTCCCGACAAGTATTTCAGTGCGGACCTGTATTTCATCGTGAGGTCTTGGAGCACCGGCATGCAGTCCCCTGTGAGGTCTTAAGTTACCTGATTCACGAGCCCGTTGTACTACATTAACAAAGGCACGAGGGGTTGGTTGCACTGCCGATGCGATGAACCGATAAGGCGGAGTATATCCGTTGTCGCCAAACACGGGCACATAATATTATTATTGAGACAGGGCGGTACTCAAACTTCTAAAGGGCTATAACTTTGTTACTTTAATTTTACCACAAAAATGTTAAAGGAAAAAAACATTTCTTTTGATCAGATCTGCTCATTGTTAAAATAAATGACTCAACTTCGAAGTCACCCTGTATATATATATATATATATATATTTATATTTATAACAAGTTATATCTTCTCTACGTTCGTTTTGAAACACCTTGTGGCTGCAGCCTCAACGACGAGTAAGTTGTTTGACAATTTAAATCTGTCCTGTATTCTTTGCTCACAATTGTGTTTTCAGAATCCTGATGAAGGCTCCATAGAGAATGCCAAAAGCTTGATTTTATCGTCAAAAGAGTCAACTTAAGCCTAAAAATTTCCCAATTTCCCAATTAACAATTAATTGTATTTTGTGCCCAACTGGTCGTTGGCTTTGGCAATGACTACTGCTCACGTACTGCTCATATA